AGAGAGCTTTTTAGTGTCCACCTGGTTTCACTGATGCTTTCCTTTTGGCTCTCTGAGAAGCAAATAGAGTGGCTCCAGACATCTTAGCCTCTCAGAGGGCTAGGAACAGTGAAAATTCCTGTTTTTCAGGTGCTGGAGTGTTCTAGCAGTGAATTAAAAGTAATGGATGGCATGGAAGAGATGGTATTATCTGCTGCAGAACAACAAGATATTGTCATGTGCAGTCCAGAGAAGGATAATGGTGCAGAGACTAACTTTGTTCAGTCCGGAGAACAAAAACCACATCAAACAGGTGCATTAACTGAAAGGGGGAGACAAAATAAGGCCAGGTTGGACAGGGCTTTGAGGAACCTGGGCTAATGGAAGGTGTCCCTGCCTGTGGCAGGAGGGTTGGAACTGGGTGAGCTTTAAGGTTTCTTCCAACCCAAACTACACTAAGCTTTGAGATGCTTAGTGTAGTTTGTTTGATAATGCTGGGGCCTTATGTTTATTCTAAAGCTTTATGGTAGTCTAAATATTACTCTTTGAAATCACTGTCATTGTAGCTTGGTTAATCTATATATGCTGTTTGCAAAACCTCCTTTAGCTAGTATGACTTTCACAGGTGTTACACATTGAGCAAAAAGTGCCCCTAGGTTTGTCCTTGTAGTTTCTGTGTGATATGTAAAGGAAAAAGCTAATATAAAAGGCTTGAAGTGGAAGTAAATATAGAGTTAGGGGTTGATTGGGGTTTTTTTGGGGGACGGGAGGAGGGTTTGGTTTTTTTGTTCAGTAAGTGTAGAAAGTGGTACCTTTTTTTCAGCCTTGGCAGCATCAGACTAACTTAATAATCCAATTTTTCAGATGTTTCATGCAATAATTTGACATCTACTGAGAGAAATCCTTCTGATATAGTAAGTTGACCTTCAAGTTCATTTGACTAAGACAATTTACACACTACAGTACTGTTAACCTTTCCTCCAGAGTAAATCAAACTCTTTAAGATGTTATTAATCCAATTCATTTAACTTGCGCCAAATACAAGCCACAGCAACAGCCTGTCTCCCTGTTTGGGCTCACACTATTATTCCTTACTGCACATGAGTGTAGGATGAATCAAGATAATTGTAACAGAAAAGTGACTGATTCTTATCAGATTGATCCTTTAAATTGTATTTCTTGTGAATTCCCTTGTAAATATTTACTAATGTAATGAATGGCCTGGCTTTTTCATTCCACTTCCTTCTTGGAATTTTTCAGGTCTGTCCCATCCCTCTTATTTTTTTTTACATAGCTTTAAATTTAAATTTTAGAGCTGCCAGTAAGATTCAATAAGGAAAATCATGTGTGCAAAACCTTTCAAATTGCTAACAGAATTTGGGCGTAGAGTTACTTGGGTCTTGTGAAAAATCCTCTTTAAAATATATGGATTACTGATTATAGCAATGAGTGTCTTCAAAACGGACCACACATTCACTTCTTATGTCTGGAAATAAGCTTGCAAAATTTCTGTTAGCAGGGCCATGGTACTTAAAGTGGCACATGGTTTTGACCTGTGGCTGTTGCTTTGTAACAGTATCCTATAGAAGCAAGCACAGTTTAATAAGCTTACATCTACTAAGTGGCTGCATGGGTCTGACAGATCCATGCGTGGCTTGTTCTGAAGCTGCAGTGTGTCTATAGTACTGAGTGAGAGGCAAGAGAATTGCATGCTCCTGTTCCCTGGTCAGGTATTTTCTGCTAGTTTTTGCCCCATGATGTTTGAGTGGCCTCAGGTAGGCAGGCACCTCGCATATGTAAGTGGCTGGCTGACAGTAACTGCTGTTGGTCTGGTGCTTATACAGATGATGTTAGTAGAATTTGCTATTACCTTGTTTGATATGTCATTGCAGTGCCGTTTTGTTGAGTGGATAACTGTTCCTCCAATGCTTACTTCACACTCTTATCATTCTCCCACAGCCAATGCTGGATGCTGAGCTTCCCATCACTCCAGTCAAGACCATAGCCCAGAAGTTTGCAGCAGCTGAAGCATTCAATGACCTTATTGTATTTTCTCCATTTTCTTCCTCTGGGGAAAAATGAAAATTAACTTGAAATTGAAAATATGTAAATTATACCAACAAAACCCCCAGGTATCTGGAATCATCTGTTACCCTTGAACTGTGGTCTGAGTGAATGAATGCCTGTAGCACTTTGTAGTGGAGCTCATAAAAATATTTCATAATGTTTTACAGTGCAGTCAGTCTGTACTGTAAGTACTGCTGTATATTAGCAGTGGGGTGTTCACTGGTTTTATACCTGCTGTATCCAGTGATTGCATATTTTGTCTACAACATGAAATATTTTTAGTTTTGTATAATTCCATGTATTTCCTGTCTACTTCAAGCTTTAAAACTATTCATTTTTAAACTTCTATATTCTGACCTTACTTACCTCATAAATTATTATGAGACGCCTACCAGACTAGCTGTACTGGTGCCCTGTTTCTGACGCGTGCGCGCCTTCTGAGGTAACTCAACATTTTACCTCCCTAAGCACTGTTACATGCTCGGTCACTGCTCTGAGGATGCTGTTGCACCCTTAGGTTCTGGTATTCTGTGCGTTAACAACTGCCTGAGCAGTAGCTGTGGCAGGGATTGATGCATGTCTTTTTTAATTCTGTGGGAGTCTTTTTTGTGTTTAACAACCACTTGCTTTGTAATAGTAGAAACTCAGAACAAGGAATTCTGGGTCAGATAATATCTTTTCCTGGCAATGTATTAAAATAGGCACTGGATATTTTCTTTAAGGACAGAGTTATCTGTTGAGTCTCTTAAGTACTTTCAAGCTCAGTTGTATTCTGTCTTTGCTTTTTTCATGTGAAAATCTCTTAACCTCTTTCTCTGAACACTTGACATGCTAACCTCAGCCTCTCCTTGCATCTTATTGCTGTGCATTCTCTTCTCTGGACTGTAATATATTTATGCATAAGGAGTATGCCAGTTATATATACTTGATTTGAGCAATAGTATTAGGAGTACAGTTGAGTGCTGTATTTTTAACCAATATCTGACTCAGCTTCTTGTAATGGTGACCTTAGTGTAATGCACACATTCTTCCTCTAGCCTTCACTTTAAACCAAACGAAGGTAATTCAAATCCCTCAGCAGAAAGCATCGCCAGTACAGCTTGGGGAGCTTGTCTGACATGAATTTTAACCTGGAAGCTGTGTACTGATTACACTGAAATAAATAGAGGAAGCTAATGTGACTTGGTGTTACTGTGCTGGAATCGACTTTGTTACTAAATTCCTGTTAACATGGATAGTTCCAAACAGGTAGCTCTTAATGACTTTCCTCCTCTGTTTAGCCATCAACACTGCATTGAACAGTGAGGGCAAGGGATTTTGGACATCTGATGTGTACACTTAAGCTGATCTTAGAAGTGTATTTGTCTAGGCTACTACATCTGCTGGAAATCTCAACACTGTGCCTGTTGTTAACATGGCATCTCTAAATGAAGCAACTGTTACAAGAGTATGAGCCATGTCAAAGAGATCTTTAAAATGTTAGTGGTGGCTATTACTGCTCTTGTTTTGCAGACAAGACCAGGAGAATGACTCACAGCAAAGGGAACATACTTTATTTTTTACTAGCCTGAGTCATGCGGTGAATTTGCCAGTAAACCTCCCCACCCTTGAAACTGGTCTTGACTCACACGGAAGTGATGAAGGGAGAAAAGCCCAAGGCTCGTGACCTGTTCCATGGAGCATGTAACACTTGTACAACTTAGATCTCCTATGAGAAGGAAGCATGTCAGATTGAACTGAGACACCAAATGAGCAGAATATGCCTTTGAAATGGAGGTGTGATATAACTTTTCTAGCTATGGTCTAGGAAAGAGATTTTTGCTTCCTCTAGCTCTGAACCCCTTCCTGAAGTACCTCACTCTGGTCAGGCTCAGAGGCTCTCGAGCTTTCCCTGTTTTCCAGTGTTTAAGAGGACATCTCCAGCAAGGTGGTACTTCTGTGAGTTGTGCAGCAGCCACTCACAGCCTGATTGTGCACCTCCTCCTCCCCATGGTGGGGGGGGAACTTCAGTCCTTTGCTGCACTACTTTGATTCCTTTAGTGAAAAAGTAGTAATGGCTCTACCTACCAGAGCCGCTGAGGCTAAAATAAACATCAAATGACCATCCCCTAACTGGTGCTTGCAGAAGATGGGTTTGAAGGTTGCTGCCTGAGCTCAGAGGCTCAGCAGCAGAACACCACAGGCTGCTTTCCCAAGTACTCTCCATGCAAATCACTGAATTATAGAAGAGGTAGTGTTAGAAAGGACCTTATATCCAGTTCCAACCCCCCTGCCATGGCCAGGGGCACCACGCACTAAACCATGTTGCTCATGACTGTGTCCAACCTGGCCTTGAACACTGCCAGCGATGGAGCGTTCATAACTTCCCTTCACAACCCATTCTAGTGCCTCACCACCCTTACAGTAAAGAATTTCCTCCTTATAGCCAATCTAAACTTCCCCTGTTTAAGTTTGAACCCATTACCCCTTGTCCTGTCACTACAGTCCCTAATGAACTGTTCATCTTTAGCATCCCTGTAGCTCGCCTTCAGATACTGGAAGGCTGCTATGAGGTCTCCATGCAGCCTTCTCTTCTCCAGGCTGAACAGCCCCAACTTCCTCAGCCTCTCTTCATACAGAAGGTGCTCCAGTCCCCTGATCATCCTCATGACCCTTCTCTGGACTTGTTCCAACAGTTCTATGTCCTTTTTATGTTGAGGACACCAGAACTGCACACAATACTCCAGGTGAGGTCTCACAAGAGCAGAGTAGAGGGGCAGGATCACCTCCTTCGACCTGCTGGTCATGCTCCTTTTGATGCAGCCCAGGATACAGGGCAGCAAATCAAGCTGTTCTGAGCCGTCATTCTCTGCTAAAGTGATGTGCTGTCTCTACAGCAAGAATTCAGATACTTCCACCTTTGAACCCAGCTTGCTGAAAGGTATTTTGCCTTTTGACACCTTACCGAACACAAATTTTACTTGTGAAAGTATGTTTTATTACCTCAAAGTATTCATGTAAGAAGGCACTTTTGGTTACAGCCATGTTAAAAGCATCAAGTTTGCATTAAAATTGCACCACCATAGTTATATCATGGTTGGCGTGACGCTGGTGAGAGTGATGTCTCCAGCAATGCAGAGTTTGGTGATCTCGTTCAGCCTCTTCTCACGGAAGCTGTACTGCAGCAAGTGAGCATCGTTGACTGCTACCTTGAAGTGATCTGCCTCACAAAGGATCTGGAGCTGAAATAAAACCCGCACATCAGCCAAATGATAACCGCTGGATTTGTTTTAAGCCACAGGCTTGAGCAGGCTGGCACTGCCTTATGGCTGCTGCTGCTAGCTGAGTGCAGCCCAGGATGAGCTGGTGCAGCAATTCATAGCTGCAAACATCACTGGTGACCTTTGCCTTCGCCAAAGCCCTGCCGTGCTCTTCCTCCTCTATGGTTTAGCCCAGAGTTTGTCACCTCATGACTATAACTGCTTTCAATAAGTGGTTCTCCACACAGTGAGAGCTGCATTCACACCAAATCTTAACCTATTCTGCACGAGGGAAAAGCTCACAAAGGGAGCTTGGGTGCTATCAGAGAAAATGCTTTATAAAACAATAGCAGTATAAATAATGAGGCTCTAATAATAAACAGGAGTAATGGAAGTGGCGAGAAGTTATACCCTGGGCAACTGGACCTGCAGGAGGGGTTAGAAGTGGCAGTGCCATAGAACCTTCTGTGCTGGACAGCCAGCAAAGAACATCGGGCAACTGCCCTAAAAGCATCCCTGAGAGCTGATGCGAAAGTATTATTAGACAGCCCTGACCACATTCCCCAGCGCCTGATTGCTGTTGAGACACAGAGACCCAGCTGGGCACGTTTCTGTCACCTTGAAGGGTTTTCCAGCTTCAAATGGAAATCTTGGAGCTGTCCTCTCCTCCTTTCCCCAGTGATTGTGGAACATCGAATTGCAGACGATGACTTTCCTGTTGTCTTCATTGAAGCGGGGATTGAAGTGGAAGGCAATGTCATTCCCTTTCTTGAAATCCAGTGAAAACCTGCAAAGACAGTAACAGGTTTGCTGCTTTTTTCTACAAAAGCCCTGGGCTTGACAAAAAAAAGCAGCAAAAAGGCAGGAAAAAAAAACCACAGACCTTTTTGGGCAATAACAGGACATTTATTGTGTGTAATATTTGATCTTACACCAGGTGGGTGTGATTCAGGAACGGAAAGCAAATTCCAGCTGCTGTGTTCCATCTGACAGTGCCCCACAGAACCCTCCCCCTGCCTTTGGTGCTTGACGCCCCTTGGTACCTGCTTGGATTGGGGTTGATGGACCCTGTGATGGTTATGAGCATCCGAGGGCTGAGTCCTGCCTGCAGGTACAGCTCAAAGGGGACTGTCTGGGAGACAAGGGAGATGGATGTTAGCAGAAAATGTGTTAAAAGCCAGAAGCTTGGCACAGGCTGGCTTGTGGTGTGACAACCCCATGAGACAGTGGCCACCCATACCACCTCCCTGGGACAGCCAGCCCCACATCCCTCTTATCGACAAACAAAACTCAGCAGTAAAGATGCAGAAACCCTTGTAAAACAATGGAGCTGTTACCATTGGAGGAGCTGGTCCCCCCTGTGGATGAGGGGGCCCAAATCCAGGGCCACTGAGTGGTTGTCCTGGGGCAGGGTACGGCCCTGGTCCTGCTGGTGCTCCAGGGAATGGTCCGGGTGCTCCTGGATACGGTCCGTGTCCTGCTGGTCCTCCGGGATATGGCCCTGGTCCTCCAGGATAGGGTCCTGGTGCTCCAGGATAGGGTCCTGGAGGGCCAGGGTAGGCTGGGACCCCCCCAGGAGGTGGTGGCTGGTTCCCCCAGGAGGGCCAGCCTTGGGGCTGGGGGGCAGAGGGGTTCGGGTTGTTGCCGGTGGACAAGGCATCAGCTAACTGTGAACAGAGGGGAGAGGAGGGGCGATAGGGGGGTGACGTGAGTCCTGCGTTCAGGTTGAGTCCTCCAGCGTCCACCTCTCATAGCCTACAACATGCACCAGTGGTGAGAGCTCAACCACTGCCCAGCAGCTGGGTGAGGTTAGTGCCTGGGCATGGGTTTCCAGTAAACACCAACGTAACTGAGGCGGATTTGGGGGTTAGGCAGGTTAGCAAAGACACGTCCCCACCCCAGCCAAAGGTCCCTGCTGCAAAGAGAGGCAACACTCAGAACCCCCACGTTGTTTTAAAGGATTCCATACTTACAGAGAAACTGTCTGACATTGTTCCTGAAACAAAAAGACAAAGTCATTTTTAAGGTACATGATCTGAAAACAGATTTTTGAGAAGAGCTACAGTTCACAGCAGCAACCGGCTGGAATGTGGTCAGTCCCCATCACGTACCTGCCAGGCAGAACCGACAGCTCCAGCACCACAGAGCAAGCCCTCTTCTGATCCCTGCAGGAGAAATGGTCACCACCATGAGCAGCTCCACGGGTGAATCTGGCCCGAACACCCTCTGGATAAAATGGGCTGCTGGGGGTTGTCGGTGCCATTTTTGGCCTTACAGCGCTGCTGGTGTCAAGCAGACACTGAACTGCAGGGACCCCTCACCATCACCCAGCCACTTGAGCTGCACTGAGGGCAGGCAAGGCCCTGCCAACCAGGCCCCTTCTGAGAGATGACAGCAGCATGGGGGGGACACGGCCACCTCCCTGCCCTGGCTGCGGGCTGCTGGCTCCCTGTGCAGGGCTCTGGGTGGCACACGCAGGCTCTGTGCAAGGGAAGGTGACAACGCTCTGCCCCCAACACAGCATGTGAAGGATCAGAGCAGCTTGGTGTGATGAGTAACGTGGTATCAGTGACCACCATGTTATGGGAGCAGCTCTGTTCTGTGCACCCACGGCCAGCATTATCCACTTCCCCATTCCCCACAGCATCATCCCAGACAGAACTTCAGTTAAAGCCTAAACAAAAATCCCTGTGGGGGCCACAATGAGCTGCATGGGGGGTACAACCACAGCACAGCACATCGGGGAACACGCAGACACCCCATGACATGCAGGATGGATGCTCCCAGCAGGCCTGGAAAGGCACAAGAAGTGTGGCACTCATCGGGTGCAGATCCCCTTTCTCCCCGGTGTGCCCCTGAGGGACACACGTGCCACCCGCCGCTCCGGACCAGTGGGTAAAAGCTGCTTTACAAGTTGTATGAGCTCAGGCCGAGCTGCTCCACTGCAGCAGGGCTGGACCATACCTGCCTGCTGGATTCCTCCCGTCAAAGAGAGCATTCATGGAGGAAGCAGGAAGAGGGAGTTAAAAAAAAAACCCAGAGAGGCAGAAACTGGGAGAGGAAAGGAAAATTCCAAACTGAAAACAGAAGGAAAATTCTGAAAGAAGCATCCAGATGCAGAAAAGTGGCAGCAAGTCAGGCCTTGGGAGTGACAGAACCCCAAGGTTTCACAAGCAACAAACAACCCCTTTCCCTAGCCAAACATTCACGCTCCTGAGCCCACAGGGGTTTTCAGCTGGCCTTCAACCAGCATCTGTTTGAACTATGTGAACACCTCATGTCTCTCAAAGCTGCTATTTGCCTCCTGGGGTTTTCTTTAAGCCCTCGAGTTTGCCACTTGTGCACAGGGCAAAGCCGGGGGTGCACACAAAGCTCCTGCAGGCTCCCCGGGGCTGGATCCAGCTGGATTGGGGTTGGCCGAGCCACGGGTATGCAGCTGTATAATAAGACTTGTGCTGCTGCGGTGAGGGGTCCTCCCCTGCCTGCTCTCCCCTGATCTCCCTGCAGTACCTCAGGCAGAAGCAATTTGGTTCCCTTACTCACATTTCCTATTGCTTCGGCCCCATGCCATAAGCAGTTCACCTGGCAGGAGGCTCCTGTCTCTGCACCAGGACCAGCTTCCCAGTTTGATGTTTGAGGATTTGAGAACCCACTGCTCCTCTGCCCCCAAACAGTAGGGCCGAGCTCGAGGCCTGGGGAGTCACCCGCTGTCACTGCTGTGCTGCAGCTCCGCAGTGCTCACTGCCGGGCTGCTGTGAGCCCTGGACGGTAGCACCTCAGAGGTGCATTTCCAACAGCGTTTGGGCTGCTGTCAATGTCACTTGATGTCCCCTTGGCAGCTCAGCTGTGAGGAACACCCCAGCACAGACGTCTACAACGCACCCCAAGTATTTCCTATGTTCCCTCAAAGCGTGAAAAGCACCTCTTTGGGGAAGGAATACGAGATTTCTTCCCTTCGGTGCTATTTCTGCAGTGACTTCCTGGGTGTCCTCAGCCTCCCGTGCACCAATGCTCCCTCCGCACGTGTTGTGGGGTACAGACAGGGCACCCCATGAGATCCAACCACCCTTACAGTACCATAACCGCCCGCGGTCACCCCTAAAGCCACCAAGCGCTCCCGATGCTGCCGTTACCCGCGGAGGCCCCGCGCGTCCCAGCTCCCGCTGCCCCGCACCGAGCGGCGAGCGCAGCCCCAACCCTTTCATTGCCACCTCACCCGCGGCCGCCCCGCGCCCCTTCCCCGCGGGACCCGTGCTCGGAGGCACCCGCTCACCCGTGCGGCACCTGCGGCTCCAGCGCTCGATCGCCCCGGGCAGCGGGACCCGCCCTCTCGGGGCGGGCAGCGGGAGCGGCCGCTCCCCCGGGGCAGGGCCCGTGGCACAGGGGCAGCGGAGCGATGGCTGCGCGGCACCGGGACCCGGGGGACTTGGGCTTCGCGCGGTTCGCGCCTGCAGTGCGTGCCTGCTCACACCGCGGAGGCTTCCCGGCCCCTGCCCTGGCAGAGCACCCGTGGGGCTTGTGAGAGCATCCAGCTCCAGCCGGGTGTCCAACAGCCAGGGACACCTTCCACCACACCGGGTTGCTCCAAGCCCCGTCCAACCTGGCCTTGAACACTGCCGGGGATGGGGCAGCCACAGCTTCTCTGGGCAACCTGTGCCAGTGCCTCACCAACCTCACAGGGAAGAACTTCTTCCTAATAGCTAATCTCAGTCTGCCCTCTGTCAGTTTAAAGCCATTCCCCCTTGTCCCATCCCTGCAGGCCTCTATCAAAAGCCCTTCTCCAGCTTTCTTGTAACCCCTTTAGGTACTGGAAGCTGCTCTAAGGTCTCCCCTGAGCCTTCTCTTCTCCAGGCTGAACAACCCCAGCTCTCTCAGCCTGTCTCCATAGGGGAATGCTCCAGCCCTCTGAGCACCTTCATGCCCTCCTCTGAGCTCACTCAAGCAGCTCCATTGTCCTTATGTCCCCAGAGCTGGATGCAGCACTGCGGGGGCGGGGGGCTCACAGCCTTACTGAAGCTCAGTAAACCACAGATTTCCTTCTAAATTTTGTGGTTTTGCTTCTCTCCAGGGACCACCAAGAAATAAAAAGCTGGAGAAGCTTTGGCTTTCACCCGAGCAGCAAGGCCGGCAGCTGTAATTTCAGCAAGCGCAGTTTTACTGCAGATTGAAGGGAAATCATCTCCTGCTTGCTCAATGGGCTTCACAACTTAATGCAATAGAAAAGAAAAAGGCTTGTTGAGATGCTGATCTGCTGCGAGGTGTTGCTGTCAGAACTGAATAGGACAGAACAAAACAGAACAGGACTACTTCAGTTGTAAGGGACCTATAGCGACCATCTTGTCCAACTGCTTGACCAATTTGGGGCTGACCAAAGGTTATTAAGTGACACTCCCTTTAATTGGTGCCATTAAATGCATAGAAAGTACTTCTTCAAGGCAGCAGCTAAACTAAATGGCCTTGCTGATACAAACAAAAGGCAAAAATCTCTTGAGTTTGTTTTAAAGGGATTTTAGTGTAACTTCTTAGGGTTCATCTCTTCTTATCTAAAAGATAAAGGCTTTGAAAGAGGGCAGCCTGCTCTCTACTGGGGCACCAGCCTGGATTTTCACACCCTGAAGTTCTGTAGAACACTGAAGCTTGTCAAATGCTGATGAGAGATGCCAGGGATGCCGAAGGGAGTGCGATGCTCCAACTGGGGAGATGTTTAAGCAGGGAGTGCTGCTTCACTTGCCTGCCACAGCGAGCAGACCTCACCACAGCAAACAGACCCAGTGATACCTCTGGGAATGTTTTAGGGCAAAGGGACCTGGAGAGGATTGGAGCCAGTAATGCTGAAGGATCCCTGAGGCACTGCATGAGCATCTGGAGCTTCCTGAGCCTGTAACTCAAGCACAAGGAGATGGCTGCTCACCAGAACAACCCTTCAAGTCCTTGCTCCAGCATCTTTCTAAGAATATATTAACCAAGCGGTACACATGTGCAGAGCACATGTTCATAAAGCTGAGTAAAGGGACACACACAGAGCAGGTCTCGGTGACTTCTGCCTTCCCAGGTAGCCAGCTAAGGCTGTATTACCTCCATAGTGCACTGCTTTTCCCATTCCACCCTAAGACATGCCACCCCCCCTCCCCCAAATGTCTTTGGTAAGGGAGATTTTCCTGAAAAACCTGTATTGCTATTTTCAGGATTTCACTTGAAGGCTCCAAACATTTACCAAAAAGGCTTCCCTGTTTTTTTCCATTTCCAATGCCATAAGCCTTGTGCTTCCAGTTATGCAACGGATACACAGTGTTGAAAAAATGTTTGACCAAAAGTGAACACATGACTCAATATTTGAGGTAATTTCTTCACTTGAAAAAGCCAAGCAGCAGCGAGGATGAGGAGTGAGGCTGGACGGGGCTTGGAGCAACCTGGTCTAGTGGAAGGTGTCCCTGCCTGTGGCATTGGGGTTGGAACTGGATGAACTTTAAGGACCTTGCTAACCCAGACCACTCTGTTTATGATTCAACATTCATGGGGCGGGTGCCAAGAGCCCTTTGCATGCAGAGCTATGAAACATCCACATTCTGCTCTGCTCCCTGTCGCCTGAGTCATCCCACTGTGACTCACATGGTCGGACACGGAAGTGTGGCGGCTTGGGATAGTGAAGACAGAGTGGCTGGATTCAGTGCTGGAGCAGTAGACAAGGGATGTACTGGCTCTGTAGGAGACCTAAGGCCCAGAGATGGTGCCTCTCCCTCGCAGTATTGTAACGCCTTGCCATACATGGCCTTGCAAACCAGGGCTGGCTGCTTCTCAACAGTGGATAGAAAACCAGTCATTTCTCAAAAATAAGCATATTCTTGGGGTTTGGAAAATATTTTTAAGCACTCGTAAGTAAGTATCCTGTTTGCTTTAGAGACTCTAAAAAGAAAACGAAACCCTGCTTGGCACCACGTACAATTGAAAGCTCTGAATTGCCAACCCAAGAGGTGGGAGAGACAGAGGAGCCAGGAAGGCTGCTAAGTCATTGGATCACAGTTACTTAGGGAGGTGGTCTCTGACATGCACTTCACTATGGGCAGACACGTTCTCTTTACACAGTTTAATTTCCCTATTTTAAATGCCCAGCATTAATCTGATAGCACACAAGAGCCAAGTGATATTTAACGGTGCACTGGTTTTAGCAGGGATGGAGTTAATTTTCTTCACAGCAGGTAGTATGG